ATTAAAATAATGTCTTTCTTGCTTCCTTCTTATGCGAGTTTTTTAATCTGCCTCCATTGTGTTTGTAGTTCGTAGTTTAGTTAAAAACATCGCATGCTACGTATGTGAAATTAAACTTGTCCCTCTCCTGCCTTTAATTAATCCTACTGTAGGAGCCTCGTTATACATTTAACATTGGTTATCCTACACGGCCGTTGAGGATTGACATGATGGAGCGGAAAAGCGTTGCACAATCAACATCACAACATGATATGTATGTAGTTTTTTCAAGTAATATCAGAACATAATGATGCATTTTTTTCAAGATTTGTCGTTTCTTGAAACCAAATAATGAAATTCAAGATTACTAATTCAAGCTCCATTAGTAAAACTTTGGTCTATAGGGTTATCGTACCGCTAAATCGCAATCCTTAAATTCAAGATCCTAACTTAAGCGATCGATATTTTTCACAGCGCCATGCATTGAAGCTTGAGGTTCTGAGTTTATAAATTTGGTGCAGAACTCGGGAGAGAACTCTAGCTGCTACCTGACTTGGAATTCGTTCTAGTCCGCGGACCCTGATGACAAGATAGACAATATTTTTTCTTTTATTACTTGCCTTGATTTGATACTTAGCTTTCGTATTTGGATCGAAATCAAGGCTATCGAGTATTGTATCCAAGTTAGTGAGTGAGCTCGAAATAGCAGCCATTCATGAACATCAAGTCGCTCTACTTATATCGTGAAAAATGGCACCAACAAATATATATTCGAGCCCATAACGAGAGAAAAATACTTTAAAAGACGTAGGTTATCAAAGAAGAAATGCAAAGTTCTTGAGTGTGTAGCTAGCGTTGAGAACACCAATCAAAGAGGAAAATAATTTTTTATTTTGCGATTAATTTCGTCTGGTCGCATTCCACTCACGATGGGATGAATGAATAATCATGTAATCAGTAATTTTATTATTGAATACATGTAAGGCTAACATACGTTACGAAAAAAGGCAATTCATCTGATCTGAATTACTTAATTTTAAATCACTTAACTCTGCACTGATGAGATGAGCGAACGTGAGGCTGAATAATGTGATAAGCTATATCGTGTACGGCACACTGCTGCGAGTCACTGTCAACGAAGAACCATGTAAGCGCTGTTAGCCTTACTGTCATCTACACGGTTATTACAAAGCATTGCTTGATAAAGCCGAAGTAAGGATTCAAATCTGCGGCTATCGATGCGGTATAGACGCTGATTATAGCCGTGAGACACTTCTAAATATCGAGGCGCTTTAAACAGCATAAACTTTCTAAATATAATCACAGTGCAATGGCTTGTTTCACAATCCAAAAATAAAACGGTGTGAGATTTTAACATTTTTTGAGATTCCTCGTAAAGTTTTTACGTTGTTCATACGAATTCCAGTAGTACAGGGTGTTTCAGAATTAAGTAACCCTTTTAATTTGTTAATAAATAAAAAACTAAGAACGTTATGAAGTTGAAACTTGTTTTATTTAATATATACTACACGTTCAATAGGCGAGTGACACGTGCAGAGAATGCATTATTCATCTCAACATGTTTCCTCGTTGGCGCCACTAAACTATCGCGAACTTAGCAACTAATGCCATATATTTATGTGACATGAAGTGCATCATCTCATCCACCGAATCAAAAATATTTTGCATCGCCAACACCGAACATATTTTGCATCACCTAACACGTACCATTTTTCAATCAAATGGATAAAGATCTTTTAGAAGTACTTGTCATTGCCAAATGAACTATAGGTGCTTGATAATGTGCAGAAGCGGATTACTTCCAGGAAGAGGAAAATGGATAGAGAGGCTTGGTAAAAAATGAGAACTAGCGTTTCATAAGCTGAAGTCGAAAGAGTTGATTGAGCAGAACAATACTGAAGCTCAAACCGTTGTATTGTTCCGTCATATTTAATAAAGGGAGACACAACTAATTGAAATTTGCACGCGACATTCATGGAATGCATCATAGATCTAACGAAACTGAAACAAATTAGGAAAACATAAATTAATCGAAGAGAAATACAGAACATTGAAATTTTTAGATGATTTTTTTTGAGATCCGGATGAAATTTTGAGATCCGGATTAAGATAACTCAGTATATAAAGTTTGTTCATACTGAGCATGGAATAAAGAGATCGTTGTCTACAAGAATAGATCAGGGCATCAAAAATCACATAATTAAACTGAGTTCAAATTAGGACGAATAAAGCACCCGGTTGAGTGAAATATGTTCAGCATAAATAATGATTGCGTTTAGGAGTCATTACGTCTCTCGACAAATTCTAGCTTCAGCCACGAAAAAATCGTTGTTCCTGTTATTTAAATACAATCATATCGTGTTCCGAAGAGAAGCAAGACATATACTACCGAACTCAGTTTGGAAACTTGGGAAAACAATTGAATAGAATAGGGAGTTGCAAAATCGCCATGCATAGACGAAAACCAACCGAAAAAATGTAACTAGAAGAAAATCTACGCAGTGTCGTAACACGTTGGAGTGAAAGTGAATGACATATTTGCAAGTGAGAAGCATTATACATTGGAGTTGAAAAGCGCTTGAAATTCTAAACTAAATCAAAGATCCTATAAGCGAAGTTTGCTTAGCAGGTTGTCATATTCTCAGCCACGATACTTAAGAGAAGATACAAAAGGCCTGCAAGATTCTATAATATATTGAATGTTTCACGCTTGTTACTTGGACCTTAATATTCGTACGGTTCTACATTATTCCTAATGTTTTGGAAATTAATTCCATTTGTTTGAATCCTGAGGTCGTTGAATCAATGCAAGCTAATTTTGATTGGTAACGAAAAGCAACTTAGATGGGAAAGTTGTAGCCGATTGGCCAATAAATTTCCCTCTTTTGCATTCATATCTTTCAGTCGTCAAACTAAGATATGTTAGAGACATGCCAACTTGCGAGGAGCAGAGAACGAAAGCTGCATTGGTGCATTTCCGTGTTGCTATACGACGCATAAAGCGCACAGCAAACGTCTCGAGAAAGTCAAACAGTTTAAAAATATTATTTATAAATCTATTTACAACAAGTCGTGTGTGAAGGCAAACAAAAGTGTTCGGTGATTATTGTGAGAGTAAATGCTAAGTCAACCACTGGTTTACGAACGCAGCACACAGTCGAGAAATTAATTGATAATATTAATTATCTGCGGTAAAAATATAGCACATGTTTATGAGATACGCATTCAAAAATCCATCTCCTGCAACAGGCAGAATTACTCAAACTGAACTATCAGCATCGGAAAAGTAATTAAGTTTTAAAAATAAACATTGAGAGGCGAGGAAATTCCACTTAAATAATATCATACCAATTCATTTCTACAATAATTGTGAGCCGCAAATTAAAAGTTAAACCAACAGGAGTAAACTCAAGTGGCAGGGTCAACGGAAGTTCCCAAGTTTTGAGTATTAACGGTAAATTACAATACCGATATGGAAATGTGATTTTAAAAACGTAGAAAAATGAATACAACATAGAATGAGACATTTTTAACGTAATTTTTTTCATAAGCACTTTTTTTTGTCATTAGAATTAAACAAAACTAAGATATTCAGATTTTTGTTGATATTTCCATTTTTATAATCCATTTGACTGGGTTGAGTTGTAGCTGGTCGCAAGACTGTCATGCCGAGACGGCCATATATGTTCAGAGACAGGGAGCCGCTAATATGCATTTAAGCTACGCTTTTCATGTTGAAATGAATGGTGTCTGCGTTTTCCTTAGCTTCCTTAGTTCTTACTCGGTATCAAATCACAGCGTCTTATCATCTATCTCACTTAATACTAAACTTAATTCCACACCAAAGTTATTCAAATATACTGAAATTCATCTGTGAATCGAGACAACTAAATATCGGCAAATTAAAATAAATCTTCAACTTGTAGCAATGAACTTTCTTTTCTCGTGCAATATTTCCGAGTGAAAACAATAAAAATTTATCGCACGAGCAAATAAGTGATTTTATAAAAAAATTTAACTCCAAGTTCTTTCGTAATTTTTTAGATTAAAATAAATAAATTTATGAAGTAAATAAGACGATTCGATTCGGAAAAAGGCTTCCTTACTACCAATTATGTAATCAATAGAATAGAGTCTATTAAATTGGTCCGTCGATCTATTGAATGAATGTATTTGACGAAATTCAAAGTGTAATTACCATGTTCCACAACATTGAACATCAGCAAAAGAAGTAACCTGCGTGCTAAACATGAATGAATATTGAAATTTTCGTTGAACCAATGAGGTAAAAGACTGAAGCTGAACGTAAAGGCTTACGTTGAAAAGCATGTTAATATGTTTGCTTGAAATGCAGAACTTATCTCCTCTATGGTCATTGTTAGAGTTGTCATTGATGGACCAGCCCCATACAAGGTAAAATTTTACATTTTAAAGCTTCACAACAAAGATAATTTTGGAGTTTATGTCGAAGAGTTCGTTTCAGATTACAGACAATCCATTTTTACAACGGATTAACAAAAAAAGCCATAGTCACAAATTTTGATAATGTGTATCAGTGAAAAACATATACTTATTCAAACTTCCTCGACTTGTTCTGAAGCTGTCATTGTAACACAAGGCGCGATATCTTTAATTTCAACCATCGAGTTCGATTTCAAAAAGTGCTATGCCCTCGACCTCCGATGTCAGGATATACTTTATGTGCAAAGCATTTCTTTAGAGGACTGTTTTCCAACGCAGCTATACAATGGACTATCATTTATTGTTGTTCTTCGAAGCAAAGTAACCAAAAACCGTCTGGCAAAGTTGTCATATGTGGTACGTGTGAGTACGATTTCAATAACATGTTTAGCAACTATAATCACCGGCCACTGAGACAAGAAAAAACGAAAATTGCATTCGAGCTTCACGGGTTGCATTCATCCACTCTGAGCACGCAGCCATCTGAGACTATCATCCACACTGAAGAGCACGCAGCCATCCGAGACTATCATCCACGCTGAAAAGCACGCAGCCATCTGAGACTATCATCCACCATGAAGAGCACGCAGCCATCCGAGACTATCATCCACGCTGAAGAGCACGCAGCCATCCGAGACTATCATCCACGCTGAAGAGCACGCAGCCATCTGAGACCATCATCCACGCTGAAGAGCACGCAGCCATCCGAGACCATCATCCACGCTGAAGAGCACGCAGCCATCCGAGACCATCATCCACGCTGAAGAGCACGCAGCCATCTGAGGCCATCATCCACGCTGAAGAGCACGCAGCCATCTGAGGCCATCATCCACGCTGAAGAGCACGCAGCCATCTGAGGCCATCATCCACGCTGAAGAGCACGCTGCCATCTGAGGCCAAGATGGCCGCGTCCAAAAGGCGTGCTGGTCTCTGGAGTTTGTGGCGGCGCGCCAGCCTACGACTCTGAGGGCTGCGGTGACGTCACGCCGCTGGTCGCCTGCACATCGAACCATGAGAATTATAAATCCATCATCGACATCATCATATCCGATCGCTTACAACGAATAATAAGCAAATAAATTTATAATTAATTCATTAGCGATAGCTAAATATATGTTAGAAATTATAATGAAATAAACATAAATAATAGAGAATGTTCTTTTTCCTAAATTTGTGAAGATTGCTCCACGAAAGAACATCATTAAAAGTGCATGTTGCTTCAAGACAGCATCGCACACATCAAACTTCTATTAGAATTTCTATATTAATTCAAACTTCAAAAGTTTGAATTAATAAAATTAAAGCTCGCCAAACATCTGGAAAGTTTGAATTAATAAAATTAAAACTCGCAAGACAATACTTTTTTAAAAATAAGCACTTAAGACGTATATATTGAGTAGAAGACTTAACTCCCAAAAAAATGCAATATTTTTCTCGTAGAGTCATGAGAAGTAAGCGTGTCAATAAATATCTTAGTAGTTTAGATAAATTTGAGCTGAAAATTGGAAGAAAATTGTCTTTAAAGTTCAATGTCACACAAGACTTGGACATAGATGACGTTACCGAAATTTAAACTTTGAGTATCTGCGAGGTAGTAGCAGATGGTTCGTGGGAAGGACATTCCACTGGTTCGGCTCCTACGCCGGCCAGGGAAGATAAATTAAAATGATCTCTGTACTTCTGTACGCATTACTTGCCTGCGATGTAGGATTGGTTCCAGCGGGGCTCTGTAGAGCAGAACAATAAATAATTAGCGCGGTGCAATTCATGCGTCTAAAGTGAAAAGAGCAGGATTGGTGAATCCTATTATCATGTTAAAGCTTTCTTTTACAGGAAATTGAATTCGTCAATTCTATAATTATCACACAGAATCGATGAAGCATTTCATTATTTTAGGTCCACAAGAAAGTTTGTAATTTTAGCATATAGTAGCAATACAAGCTTGTAAAAATATTCGAAAGTATCAATTTTTACGGAGGTGATTCTACTTTCAAAAGTAGATTACCGATTGCGACTAAATATACTGAAGTGACCAAGCTGGCAAGTGCTATAACATGCTCATTACTCACCCACTTGAAATCTCTTTGAAAGACAGAGAAGCAATTTGTAAGAGGCATTTTTATTATTTTTTTCCGGTAAAAAATGCAAGACAATTGAAGGATTACAGTGACTTACCTCTGGTCTAGACGCACTACACACAGACCCTGGGACACTGGATGGTGTTTTACAAGGCGAACCACACTCGCTACTTCGCTGCCGAAGATATTCTTTGTCGTCAAAAATCTTCTTGTCACCACCACCTGGCCGATGGGTTACGTTCTTCAAGCTGCCAACTTTGCTACTTGCTTTTTCTTTGAAGTCAAGTCGTTGCTCTTGGATCTGCACGTCCAATATACATTCATGCTATTGTACGTGATGTGCAAATAGATGCTAGACTACCCGCATGTATTGGTTGGGTGACCTCCGCCTTTGACGTCATACAAACGAAATGAACTTTAGCCGTTAAAATAAAATTTAATTGCTGCCGTACAGACTGAAAGTTAAAATTTTTAGAAAATTCACTCATAAATACGTGACAATTTACTTTCACGCCCGAAAAATTCAACTTTCAACGAATGTATGAAGACAATAAAATTTAATAGAATATTTTATAAGTTAATAAAAATGCAATTTATCGGCAAAATAATCATTTTACAACGAATATGAACGGCTTAGTTACACGCCACAGTTCGTCAAAGCAAGAGGCGCAAGCATCGCGTGCTGCTCACTGTGTATAAAGGCTTCCGAAACCCTGCACCCCACAGCATAAACATCACTCTGGTAGGAAATGAACGAACAGAGAATATTCGGCCCTGTGGCTTTAAATCCATGTTTTAATATTTGAAGATTTTAATAACCTTTTTTTAATATTTGGTAATGTTAAAGTGAAAAACTAAAGGTTTTGATTGTTCTTTAAACAATTTTATAGAAATTTTATGGTATTTTTCGTGGACGATTTTGACGTAAATAATGCTGCGTGGGATCCACAGAATCTCGGAAATCTAATTGCTGGTATAATATAGTTTACCGGTAAAGCCGTTGCGAATAATTGTTGTACAAAAAGATACATCAATCGAATAAAAAGCTAAAGAAGCGACCACGGTGCTTAATATGAGCGTTTGCATCATGTTCATGTTGATAAACGATGGAGACGCCACTGCATCAGCAGCAGCGGCAAGTGCGGCTTTATCATACAATAGCAATAAAATTATAGCATAAAACTACTATATTTTATCCTCAACAAATTTTTCGGCTAGAGATGAACCAGGGCAATATTTTTTTTTTTGAGGTCTTTAAAATCCGCATGAGAAGTTTATCAATTCAGTACGTATTTTTGAACGAATTATAGCTTAGTATTGGATAGAATTAATACGAAAGAATGAGTCCACTTTAAAGGTCCACTTTAAATAATCACATGAAATAATGAAACATTGCAATGCAACCAAGAAATACACATAAAACGAGATATTTGTACCACTTTCAGCGATTCGAGATCTAATTTGTATCCATACCAGCTATCACGACCGAAAAATTGATACCATTCGAATAAATTAAAAATTAAAATCAAATCTAAATAATATACTCCAGAATGACATGCGACTATTCAGCTGGAATATTACGTGACCGCAATCAAAGCAAAACCTTAAATTTCATGGAATGAATCATGGAACCCAATGAAAATAAATAACTAGAACTCAGTATGGCAACCCTGAAAAGATTCGTCAATATTGAAATCAATGCATGACAATAAATTTTAATAATAATGTCTGAATCATATGCATTTGTTTGTTGTCTGTAGTTTCATTATATTTTAAAAACAATTACTTTTTACTCAAATGGATGAGTGACCGTACCCGTTATTGCAGAAATATTTTGATATATGAAGCTTCTCCATCTACAATGTATTAAACTATATAGATACCTCCATGAAAATCACAGTCAGGATTTGGATCGACGTGCGAGCCAATTATGTTGCTAAAATGGTGTGGTTGTACAACATATTTCATGATTAATTTCATCTAAAATCCAGGATAGAACAGTTCGGAAATTTTTTGCATCCAAACTATACGAGTCACTTGGGAAAATAACTTGGAAGCATCAAACGATACTGAAGTGCCAATGAGTAAATCAATTTCGTGTCCGAGTGAGACAACAGTACGTGTCAGCAAGTTACTTGAGTGATGTCACAAAATTGTATGTGCTGGATGAGTGTGTGATTACAGGTCGAAATTATAAAAATCAAGCACAAACTTAAAATAACTTACATGCTAAACACCAACGAACCACTTGTGAGCAGAATATATACGAAATCTGGAGCCAGATTATCAGGTTAAGAGTTCAACGTACGTATACTACACCATTATAGTCAAGACATTATAAACGAGATGAGGCCCAGTTCATGACGGAACGACGGGTAGCCATTGTAATGCACTATTCATCAGGTTGTGCCACATCTCTTTGTAACTCTCGTACCTTGGACAGTAATAAGAGTTTCAGTCAAATTCGTGCTTCTCACTCCACGGGTTCTGAAGATAATGGCTCTGCAGAAACCCACCGTTGGATGCGACTGAATTCCACTCCATATCGCAAAACTGTGCTGCTGGTGCGGCTTATATGGTTACAAACGTACTCAATACGCGCTATATATTGGCAGGCTTTTTGCTCAGATGCCACACTAGCAGCTAGGCAATTAACAAACAGCCCCAGTACAAACCATCAAAACCTTCTTTTGGAGGGTCATTCAAACTTACTTTTGGGTTCTGCTCAATTTCGATGACGTTGATGAAAAAGAGAATTTTTGGTTTGAGTTACATGAAAAATACGCGAGACAGAACTTAGATGGATTAAAGTGTCAAATGCAGTACACTGTTTCAGAATTGTAAGTGGATTCTATTTAATTTGAAACACGAAATCAGCATTTAAAAGCTAGATTTTTTCAGCCCCACAGCCCTCATTTATGTATTAAAATAATAAACGTACTATGGTATTAGTATCAGAAAATTATACTTCTATAAATAAATCCCGGTCATGAAGGAGTTTCCAAAGCACTTTCAAACATTGAAAATTTGTTACAGTTCTGTAAAATTTTAACATGCCTACAAAATTTCCGAGACATAAAATAATTTTTTGTAAACATGATCATTCTCCAAAAATATTAATATTTGTTACGAAAGTGTTTGTAAAAATTAAACTAAGGACCAAAAGAAGAGAAGTCGTTGTCTCACCTGGACATCGCCGCCCCCCGCCTTGTGTTTGATGTTGTCCCGGGAGCCAACTTTTGACTGGGCCGAGTCTTTAAAATTCAGTTTTTGGGTCTCGATTTTCTTAGCGCCGCCGCCTGCTTTGTGAGACGTGTTCTCCAGAGACCCGACTTTGCTCTGCGCGTTCCACTTCAGCTTCTGCGACTCAATCTGTGACGGATAAACAATATTATATTTCGAGTAAATTTAAATAGGTAAAAATTTTCAATTGAAATTTAGGTGTTTATGATTGTGCATTAACAAGGCGACCTCACAGGGAGAAAGAAAGACTCTTTTCGATGTAAGCGTTAGATCTTAAGTTATTCTGTAATCATACATTACAAATAAATTCCTCTGACCTTTTAGCGAAAAAAAACGGAAAATTATGCATATTTAAGCCCTTGAAACCTTTGTGCTTGTACTGTTGAGTCAGAGAAGAAGCGAAAAGAGAGACTTGATATTAAAATTTTTCTAAATCCTAGGATCACAAGTTTCAGGAAATGATTCTTAATTGACGTTCTTCAGTGCTCGAGATAAAGTTTATTCTTCAAACATCGAGCATGGGAAAAGATCTTAGGAAAAAACATGAAGCTATACAAACCAACCATGCATGTACTCACTGTGGCACATTTCACCTTCATGTGTTTATTGTATATACTGGCATTAATTTTACAATTCTGACTATCTAAACTTTTTACCACGGTCTCGTCTTAACCTATTGTAGGAGGGACACAGAAAAATACACAGAAATCATCCTTTCTGAGGATACATCAAAAAATTATAAGCAATTCTAAGCATTTGTCTTACTCTTGGAACTTTGAATATTGAAAACTTGTAATACTAATAAAGTAGGTACTGTTAATACAACCAAAAAAACTATTTCTTTAAATGTTCATTTTCTTATTACATATCACTCCAGTGGTGATTAATAATTGTCAGAGAAATACTAATATTATTCCTTAAATGGAAACCAGGCAATGTGGTGGGCGTTCATGTGTGGAAATTTTCAGTTACCCTAAACCCTTGATGGTCGTTCATGTGCGGAAATAATAAGTTACCCTAAACCCACGAACATCGTCCTTGTGCGGATATTTTAAGTTACGATAAACCCTTAATGGTCGTTCTTGTGTGAAACTTTTAAGTTACCCTAAACCCCATGATGGTCGTTCGTGTACGGAAATTTAAGTTACCCTAAACCCTTGATGGTCCTTCTTTTGAGGAAATTTTAAGTTACCCTTCATGATATCACTCTCGCTAAAGGTTGACCTTCGACGCAAATTTTCAGTTTTATCTTCACCTTTTTGTCGCCACCGCGGGGCTTGTACTCCTCGTTCTTGGCCGTGATGCGACTGGACGCTCGCGAATAGTCCAGCTTCTTGCTCTCGATCTTGACGTTACCGCCACCAGGCCTGTAGGTCGTGTTGTCCAGGGAACCAATCTTCGACTTCACTTGCTTCAGGTTTGGACTTGCAGACTTGCCCACTTCGACCTTATTCATCGGCACTTCTGTAGGAGTACAAGTGAAATAATCAGCCTTCAGCTGCTCATGAAGTTAAATATTTTAATTATAATATATACCTTCATTAATAAAGTGACTTTTTATGCTGTAATAAGGTTGGGTGGATCTACACGACAAGCGAAAAAGACACATCATTGCACATTTTAACGAAAGAAAACTGGAACGTTAATGTGAGAAGCATTGAAATTTAGCCGACATGCTGTGCGATTATTTACAAGATCTCAATATGAATAAAACCTAATTAAATTAATGAAATGTCCTTATCGTTCTAATATTATTTACATGCAAATAATCTAATATTATTTACAATCAAATCTCAATATTATTTACATGCAAACCATTTGCGGTATTGCTAAGATTTGCACGCGAATTTTGAGTTTTTGTGCGAAATCACATAATTTGATGGGATTTATAAATATTAAAGTTAGAAATGTCTTAACTCAATTAAAATCGAGTACTTTCCTTGACTTATTTCAATATTATTTTACAATTTGAGGAAGATTGTTCGTCAAAAACTTACTCTTTCTTTCTACCGAGGCCGCGGTGGGTTGCCCTAGCCTCTTCATGGGGGACGGGTCTACAGAGCGAGGCTGTCGTTTGCGGGGCGACGCGCGCCCGCCCTTTGGTGGTGACGAACTCTCGCCATTCTGCCCACCATTGCCAGAGTTCGGTCAGTGCCTGCCGCTATGACTACATAGTACATTAAATTCATAAATGGCTTTTTGCAAGAGATTGGTTTTCTCGTCAGAGGAAATTAATCTAAATTTTAGAGAAATTACAGTCATTTACATTCGGAGAGAGACTGAAACTGAGAAATTACAGTCATTTGGAAATGAAAAGACTCAATTTTGTTTTTTTAAGTTTGTGATACTGGAGATGATTGGTTTTAAAAGTGGGATATTTCCTTCACGACGCGAACGGAACGGAATTGCCGAAAACAAATGTACAACGTGGACATGGCAGCATGGCTTGGGAACGCATTTTAATTGAGCTTTAACACTTGTTTGCATTGGGATAAACCCTGTAAAAACTCTATGCAATATAATAAATATTAGATTTAGCACACTAAGTTCAATGAAGAGCAATATTTTGTCACTTAAACTTTTAATCTTGCAATTCCGTTGACGAATATTGGAGAAAAATCCAAGGAAGAAATTTTAATTGAAAACAGAACTTCAAGTGTTGCCAACACATTATCAAGTCATTGAGTCTTGTCTAGAGCTAAAGCCGACAAAATGAATTTTGCCAACAACTAACTACCTATTTCTAGTAAGAGAGCAACAATTAAAAGGAAGAAAACTCAAATTATTACAAGTTTACAGAATAAAACACGTAAGCAGCGGTAGGTACAATTGAGGTCCAATACAGGTAAAGATATTAAATAAAGGCTACGAGTCAACACGATTCTCAACGGATATGACTCATGCGTGCCAGAACTACGACGTGAACAGCTGATGGATGAACATTGAGCTTACGTACATCGCTATTCAATAATACAAACGGGTGAACGTTGAGTGACGTTGCAAATCAATAACGCTATAATAGGTAAACTTTGAGTGCACATTATTACTCCATGTTGGAATCCAATAACGCTATAATTGGTAAACGTAAACGTTTAGTACACATTTTTACTCAATAATAACACACTGGGATCGCAAAACAATTGAGTGAATGCCACGTACTGAGCTCAGCATTATATAAAGTGCACAGGATTTCTTGTATGTGGTATGACAATTAATCCCCATCGTTTCAATCTCGCATGGATAATTTTGCTGCAAATTGCGGCAAGATGGCTGAGTCCTTGTTTGGACTTGAAAACATTTTTCTTAAGTAAAACATTAAACAGGAAATTTGTAAATTATGGAATGGAATGGATTATGTAATTCAAGCAAAATCTGTTATACGGAGATTCACATGGAAAATTGCAAGGCATGAAATTCAATTTGTCATTTAGTGAAATCTGAGCGCATAGACCGAGACTTGACAAACAAGATATCTGGAGTCCTAAAATCGTGTGCTGGAGTCTCAAGCTGGATTCAAGGCTAGGCAAAATTTAACTTTATTGATGTTTGATATTAAAATAATAATTTCAACGAGCTGGCAAAGTTACACACAAACCCCTGCTGAGGCCGAAAGAGCTCAGGCACTTGTTGGCATGTGAATTTTTTTTTCTCTCATGAAAAGGCGATAAGCCATCGATACATGGAATGATTTCTCAAAATCCTAACCGCAACTAAATGTTATTTAAGTATATAGAAGTTTTTTCATTGCTGTATAACATCGACATATAATTGTAATTTAATTATAGATTGAGATGAAGAAATTTTAAGCTAATAGTGACATCGCGTGGAGGTAATACAAATAATAAGGCAAACACACGAAAAATATTTTCAAGTTGGTGGACAATCTGATGGGCGAAGTAATTCAGACAATTATGAATTGACCAAGGTGACATGCTCTTTTTCATTCACATTGTACGCCCTAGCTCAAGACCAACGAAAGTGTGGGCCTTGTAAATTTTTGAGGACGGAACATTTTATCAGGGAGGGGCTGGAGAAATGGATCACTTGATCCCAGGGCTCATATGGGGCCGTCAAGAACGATAAGAAAGAACACGCGATGGCTTAAATGAGAAGGCCACAGAGGGATTTTAGAGTCAGGTCACGGTGTCGCACAACGAGTATTTCAATTCAGCCATAAGAAAGTTTTTTTGAAATAATACTATTTTGACCAAACCCCTACATCAGTGCAGAAATTAAATCAACTACAAGGCGAAATTGTTTCCTTGGAAAAATTTGATATATGCTGCAGAAGTGGTCTTCTCAAAGAATATACAAGCTTTACGTAACGCTAGCAACTCTACTGCGGATTCCGATCAGACTTCGCAAACTCAAATTGTTACAAGTACTACCAAAAAAGCACCCATCGTACGAGGTCAAGTGTGCGTACATTGGTTTTCAGCAGCATAGTTTTCAACAAAGTTAGCATTATAGTAAACTTATTAATGCGGTTAAACTTGCCACTTGCAGAACGAGGTCCATGATAACGGTTGTGGGGGTAATCACACACTCCAGGGTTTTCAGTTCGAAGTGTGGCTGCAGTGAGCGAGTAAAATCTACGGTGATTGAACGAAATCAAAAAACCTGTTGTGAGTTCAATTTCCTCATTCTATCTGAATGTGTGTAAGATATGGAGGTAGAGAAGAGAACTTTCCGTGAAATACGGATATATTTGCGCTTAATTTACATACAATATTAACCAAAAGTGGAGACATACTCGTAAAATAAGTCGACGCAAAATGAACAAGTCGATTGAAATCCGAGAGATACTCAAGTTTCGTTTCATAAATATTTCTATACGCTCACCATAATTTTTTTGTTTACCCATACAACAAACTGATTTCATATTCAAATGTGCCAATTATACTGGTGAAACAATGATGCGGTTTTATTCCTTCTAATCGTGTACCAATATGAATATGGTGCATATATTTTGCGAGATAAATAACGATGCCAGAGGACTTGGAACGATGGAAAAAACTGTAACTTTGGTGACCAACCGGCGGCACAGAGCGGGATGTTCGACCACGAAGATGGGATTGGTTAGACGGCAGTTCAACAAACTTCAGTTCGTTGGCAACGTTCATCATGTTTGAAGTATCTACTACGGCGTTCTTCACATTACCCTCTTTGTTTAGCGAGGTGGACGTGGTGGAAGCGTCGACCGCCGAAGCTTTCTTGCTATCTCCACGTGCGTCAATCTTTGTTTTCTTTGAATCAGTACCAGATTTTATATACTCACTGGTTTTGAACTCCCCGTTTCGAGGTACTTTAGCTCGTTTCTCCGGCACCGAAGCAGGGGCCGTAAAGAATCTAGTGCCCGCTACTTGATTGCCCCCCATCTTGTACATGGACTTGCGAACACAAACCTCGGTTACTTCGCAATTTTCACGCTCATTTTCAGCAATCATTTTGGAACCATTGCTAGTCTCGGTGGTTTTATTTCGGCCATCGTCTTTCACAATCAAGTTTGTTTCACAGTTTATTCCAGCCAAAACTTTTCCATGCACTTGAGGTTTGGTTGAATCCATTGCACGAGTGCGAATTTTTTCACGTCCTGTCTTATTGTTTATTTTATTTCCGACAGTAATTTCACGCGACTTACTGCTCGCAGCGACATTCGCTGATTTTTTTAGTAGGTTATTCTTCTCAATTTCCTTTTCCGAGACTTCAATTTTACTAGCGCCTACACGAAAAACCTGGGTCTCTGCACGATATTTTACTTCTTGTTTCTCGCCAGCGATTTTTCTGAATCCTTTTCCAGGAGACAGAATCTCCGGGGAGCTGGCCGACTCGTAAGCCGGAGAGCTTTCCACTGCAGGGCGCATTCTACCGACCCCGTTCGGTGGTGGTGTTGGTCTGCCGGCACTTCCTTCCCAACGACTGCAGATTTTAGCAGAGCTCCCGTCCCCCTCGGAGGTATTCCTTTGATCAGCAACACGTGAGCGTCGACCACTCTTTTCATAATGCTTTGCAAAATTATTTTGCTTATTACCATCTTCTTTAGCTTCGGAGATTAGACTTGCATGCTTGTCGAATAATGTTGTCGAATTCTTAACAGGCTTTTCATTTAATTTCAGGCTATTTCCCTTAAGCGGTAGCAGTTTTTGAAGCTGGTCAACATTCGCAACAAATTCCTTCGCCGATTTTTTACCGCCTGTTCCGCTCTTCTCTACCGTGTTTACATGAGAGGTATTATACACGGCAGTCGTCATGGCGTTGTATGCGCTTCGATGACTAACCTTAATGGTCCCGGATGAAGAGTAGCCGTCATTTTTGCCCAGATCATCCAAATGATGTCGAATGGGTTGCTGATCAGTATTCGGAGAAGAAAGAAGACTGAAGACAGTAGGAGCAGTTCGTGCTGGCGTTATTTTTATATCATGCGGATCAGTAGAGGTGTCGAATACCGAAGCTGAAGATACAACGAGGTGACTGTTCTTGATTACATCTTCATCTGGAATTGCAGGAGTCGAGTGGACCAATTTATAATAGACAGATTCCGTCATAGGGTCAAAGTTCTTGTACCCTTTGTTCACACGTACTTTTGACCCATCATTAGGTGGGCCCGGCATTTGGATAGTGACGACTTGCGAGCCTATAGGCGATTCCGGTATTTTCTCCTCTATTTTATCCACAGTTGTAGTTACTTTTTGATCAACGAATTGATTATCAGATGACTGCACTCCAACGCTATCAATACCAGGTCGGACATCATTTGTCATTGGTGATGATGCCTGCAAACCGGCCAATGATCCAATCGACTCTTCCTCAGAACCCATCGAAGAGCTCATCCCTTGGTCTGGGGAAGTGCTACCGCATTGGGAGCTCGTAAATTTGAAGTCACTAGACCTCGGTGACTTTGTAAACAAACTTGAAAAAAATTCGCTATAGCTCTTAGTGGGCTTCTTATTCAATTTCTCCACCTTGACTTCATTACCATCGTTTACCGACTGGGTGGAATCCATCTTTTTGCCGACTGAGAGGCTCCTCAGAAATTTCCCACCTGGAATGCTCGATTTTGCTTCAAACCTCTTAGATCTTTCAATCGAACTTTTTACGAAGGAGTTCGACTCGATGCTAGATTGGCTGGAGACCGTTTCGGTGCAAGATTCGTTTACGTTTTGGTCTGAAGAACGCAGTCGCGGCGTTTTAGCATCAGAGACCATCGTTACTTTATTCACAGTCCCGTCAGATTTATTTAAGCATTCAATAGAACTCTTCTTGTTGTTGACATAGGTAAAGTTTTTTTCGCCACACGTTTTGCGAATTCCAAATGAGTGCGGATGGTTCTGTGGCGTAAAAATATGTTCAAAACAAAACGGTGAATTTTCGTGTCAAGTGTAAATAGTTGTCGAAACATTAAAGCATAATTATTTGTAAATAGTAAGTATGTTAGTTTTAAAACTTTAATTTCAAGTTCATTCGAGCACAATCGTGATTGATTGGGTAACAACTGCTCCAACCCCATCAAAATTCTAGACGTTTCCTCGCTTGACTATAAAGCGACGAGGTCATCAATAGCATACAGAAGATGAGTCACGTTGGAAATAAGGCGGATTGATCATAAATTATTGTGTATACGAGCGGCGAAGAGGATCTCTTTGCCCTTTGAGGATCTTTGCCTTTGAGGATCTTTGATAGGTTATATATATTAAAATAAGCGTATAACATAAATATGTACATTCCAGTATGGGAATGCCGACTAAATTATGATATGTGTGCTAACACGTCTGCTCTTAATATTCATCTATAGACGTTTATCGGTATCACGTTCACAGCAGGAAAATTGAAAGTCGTAATGGTTGCGTGCCGACAGCAATACTATAGCCAGCATTCGGGCTGCTGTATGGCGCGTTACGAGCCAACGATGTGCACGCTTCAGCTCGTCACGTACTTGATTGATGAAAGTTAAAGTCCTTGATAGGGCTGCCAGACGGTCATTTTTCCGGACAAATTCCGCGATTTATTTTTTTTAATTGCATTAGCCGGTTAAAATTTCTGATACGGGTACTTCCCAATTAAATTGTAAAAACTGCAAAAAAATGAATTTTTACACCGTATCTTACAAATATACTAGTATATTTAGTAGTACTAGTTATACGCATTTTTGGCCTTTTTTGTTTGCGGACTTGGCCGTTTTCTAGGCCATCTGGCAGCCCTGTTCCTTGATTCGATCGTTGGTCTCTATGAAAACTCAGATGAAACGCCATTCATTTTGACAGGTTATTGAATGAATGAAAAACTTCTCCAGTTGAAAATTCAATATTGAAATTTCACAAAATTTAAGCTAATAAAATTACTTAATTAATTAATTTTTGTATTTTGTAAACATTCGCACTTTGTATTTTTCCTTCACTAAATAATGAGGTCTTGATTAATTTCAACCTATCAACACCATAAATTTAGATATAACGTGGAAATTCATACCTTATAAATTAAATTCGATTTCTTTGTTGTAATTCACTGTGAAACCAAAAAAAACGACTGTCGATAATGGGCTGACAATCCTCTTCATTCATAATAATGACTATTGATCAGAGACTTGAGAAAATAATTTAAAAATAAAATGAAAGGCATATTGAAAAAAATACAGATGTCACAATAAATGGTATAGACAAGCAATTCCACGATACCACGACATAAGAGGTAAGAATCAAGAAATTTTCTGAAGAGCCCAACCAAAAATCTAATTTAAGCGAATACGGATACGCAGCAAGCCAGAGTGACCAAGTAGGGAGTAAAATTATACATTTATTTGGATCTAGAACTTAAAAATTATAGAATATTCGTAAATATTATGAATAGGCGAAAATAGATCTTACCTGTGACTGTGTTGTCTCGTCGACGCCGCTGTCGTGGCCCTCTTCTGTGGGAGGAAGGGTTACGAAATTAGTATGCGGACACAATTCTTTTAAGACAAAACTTGTTAAAAATAATGACTGCCAAAAAATGTTATGGAGAAGAATTTGTAGAAAGGGAAGAAATCAAACGAAATAACATTGCCTACATAGAACATAGGTGCATTTAGTCAGCGAAGGAAATGAGTGAACGAAAATGAACGTATTTTCTTCATAACAATATTTTATCATAAAGAACCAAGAAATAATCGTCGACAGGATAAAATTTAATCTACCAGCGCAAAATTATGCTAAACCATGAGTATGACACCACGATTTTCTCAGTCATCTCACCGTCAATGCGAAACGCTCGCATTTTAGAATGAAAAAAAAACGCTCTATTGCGCATATTCGCGGTTATATAGTAGGCGTTAATTTGCTTCTGTTCAGTTCGTGTATAAATTTATTATCTAGACCATACCATACTTTCAGACCACATTTTAGTGATTTTTGGATCTTTTATTCAACTTGATTTTTGTAATTTCATTTCATTAGTTGAAGCTCCTCCTTGAACGGGCAAACGTCCATGGGATAGATTAATTGGTACTCCGAATGACGCAGATCTATTGATGACGATGAAAAAAATTGCAATGCAAATTCCCACTTCAGAATAATAAAAATATGTTAATATTCACGATCAGACTCAGAGTGACATATTTTTTATAAATTGATAAAATTTATCCTGCTATTTTTTCGGTTGCGCCGTGTGATTGACTGTTCATACATACGAAATTTTATCATCAATTGATTGATTCCAGCAAGCAAATGCCAACAGTAAGGATAAGTTACGAAAATCAGAACAAGCTATAACCAAATTAAATATGACTGCTGTGTGGTAAAATAAGATATCGGTAATACAAACGATTTTGAAAAATAACATGTTGTACGAGAATCGCATGCAGCAGCCATACCCATCAGATCACCTAGGAAATAAGCAGAAGTCCTACCACTGCACCTCTCATCGATCGGTACCGAATACGCGCAGAAAAAGCCCCACACACTATAAATTTTAAACCCTTTATAAACAACTAAAAGTATAAAAGTACCATAAAATAAGAAGTAATAATAAGTGTTTTCAGTAATTCTATTTAAGAAATAATAAATGATTATTTGTAGAGAAAGGCCGACAATGATATGAGCCTAAAAGACTAAACTTTAAACCACCCTTGCACCTCCACCCTGAGAATCAAGTTTACCAGGTCGAGAAATTCTTCGGCGTGATGACGAAGGCTTCGTCGGGCTTCTCCTGCGGCTTACGCGACCACCGCTTCTAGGTGCCGTTGCTATTTTCTTTTTCGTGGAGTCGCTAGCTTCTTCTGAATCCGCTGTTTTTACAGCTTGCTGAGTCTGCTCACCAATGGCGGCAACAGCATTTGTATCAGAGCTGTTTCGAGTTTCAGTTAGAACAAGAGCTTGAGATTCTTCATAGTGATGCTCTACAACTTCACTTGAAGAGATTTCGGTCACTGAAGTTTCGATTGCGGAAGTTTCCTCATTCGTTTCAACCTCTTTGGATTCTTTGGTGGAAGAGCCATATTCACACTTTTTTACTGTCATCACAGACAAGCTCTCAGATTCTAGTGATTGTTTGCTTTCTACTTCAACGCGCTGTATATCACCATCGACCTCTTGTGTTTTTTCCACAATTAAAGCGCTCTCATATTTTTCAGATTGCTCGCTCATTTCCATTTCGACGCGATGTACTTCACTACCGATCTCTTTAGTTTCTTCCACGATTGAAACGTTCTCAGATTTTTCAAATTTTTGGCTAATTTTTTCTTCGATGCGCTGTACATCACACTCGATCGTTTCTGTTTCTTTGCGCTGTACATCACACTCGATCGTTTCTGTTTCTTCCACGATTGAAACGCTGTCATATTTTTCAGATTGCTTGTTCATTTCTACTTTGACGTTCTGCACATCACTTACGATTTCTTTCGTTTCTTTTATGATTTCATCGTTCTCAGATATATCGTCTTGCTTGCATGTTTCTATCTCGACGCTCTCATTAGTATCTTCACCCGCAT